GTCGTCAACTTGCAGGCAAGTGAGCTTAGCCTCCTCATCTCTCTCGCTCTGAAAACACCTTCTGGGCATGTTCCTACATTTGTCTACTAAAAGCGTAACTATAGAAAAAAACTTCCCCTTTTTGCCTTCTCTCCTCTCTGTTGATGCTCTTTCTGACTGATGTGTAACTGGATGAGAGGGGACTTGCCCGAAATGTTGTTAGTCTTCAGGGTAGTTGATATTATTTTGAATTAATAAACTCACTTGGAGCTTTTGTTTGCTTTCAGATTGGCTTGGACACGTCTTACTGGACTTTTATCAATGCTTTTTCAGTATTTGGGAGTATTGCACTTTACTTTGGTATCACGTTTGACTTCCACAGCGCTGGGATCCACGTTCTCTTTCCTTCTGGCTTCCAGTTCACAGGTCAGTCCTTGTGGCTTCTGTTTCTTCTTCCCGTCTCATGCAGCAGAACTATGCCCCAAATGTTATGGCATGAACCCTTTCTTTCAATGAAATTGAACTGGAACGTGACGTTGCCCAGCAGTAGGGGTCTGCAAGTGAGAACTAAATTAAAATTGGTGGGGCAGCTTAAAAGAAAGGGGATGTGATGATGTGGCAGGGTGTGCGTTTGCCACGTTGCTGTCATGGTTTGGTGGAGGGTAAAACCCCAAAGTGAGATGGAGCCCAATGCTGGTAGCAGCTCCTGGGGGTGTTGCTGGAGGTCCGAGGAGGTGTAAGTAGCAGCAACTTGGACATTTTTGCTTCCTAATTTTCCTAGTGACAAATCTTTTGTATGTTGTGTTGGATCTAAGTATCCCCCCTCAAAATAACAAGCCCCTCAATTTTATGTTCTCATTTTTAAGCTGAGCCCAATGGAAAAAAGGTAGTTGCCTGTAATAAAATGTTTTTCTTTGACCTTTACTAAAAGCTTTAGCCTTCTTTTGTAACTTCATTCTACCTGGATGCTTTATGAATTTCAGAAGTTTATAGGTATGACCCCTGCTTAGTTTGATAGCAAGTTCCGTGAGATTGGGTGTTTGGCTACTAAATATCACTTGCCAATGTGGCCACGTTGTAAGAGAAGTGCTTTATAGAATTGAGTCCTGTGGTGCTCCTGCAGAGTAGAGTCTGTATCGCAGCTTGGTGGTGCTCAGGAGAGAAGCTGGGGCTTATAGTATCCTGTCTGTCTTTTATAATTAGTACACGTGGTCATGTCATAAACTAGTTTTTGCTCTTTTTATTCCTAGGAACTGCTCCGAATGCTCTGAGACAGCCGTACCTCTGGCTGACCATGATTTTATCCATTGCTGTTTGCTTACTTCCTGTCGTGGCAGAGCGGTTCTTTTTCGCAACGATTTGGCCTTCGGAAAGTGATCGAGTGAGTGAAGTCTTGTGTTATTTGGGTTAATTTGGTGTGTGTTTACTGCCAGGAGTCAGTACTGGTGACAGCATTAGAGACAAGTGGCTGTGCCCTAGGGAGAGCCGCAGGAGACGGGGGCTCAGGCCCATGGCCAGGGCGGGTGGCAGCAGGGCTTTCCCAAGGCCAGACCCAGCCTGCCTTCTGGCTGGGTGACAGCAGTGCTGCGATGTTCTGCCACCAAAGCAGTGTCACTTTGGCGTGTTCTGAGCTCTCAGCATCTTCCTGGTGCTTCTGTGTCGGAGTTCCCTTGTTCCCTGTCAATGTAGTGGACATTGTTTGCTTCTGTTTTGCCTCGAGCTGGCAGGTAGGGTATGAAAATAGTTACAATTGCAGTTGTGTTGTTTAAAAAGATATTAAAGAAGCGCCAGCATGAGAACACAGGACTAGCTTTCAATTGCATATCTTCAGTCCATTCCAATGAAAGACATTTAAAGAGAAACGAAAATAATGAAGTTCAAAATAGTCTTCCCGAGATGTTGATGCGTTACTGCACAAGAGACGTGGGTTTTGTCAGAGTTAGGTTGATGGTTGGACTAGATGATCTTAAAGGTACTTTCCAACCTGGACAATTCTGTGATTCTCTGATTCTATATTCTTGTTTCTAACAAATTTAAAGAGGAGAACCCTCCTGCTGAGCAGTTGAGGGATGTAGAAAAGCACGGGGCTGTTTCCCAGTCGGTAAACACAAACAATCCGTTTTTTCCCTGTAATCCCTAACCTGCTCTGTCCTTGCACACCTGAAGGTGCAGAGGAACCGCAAGAAGTACCTGGTGGAAGAGCAGGGGTGGAAGCGCCGGCAGAGCGCCTTTCGCCGCGGGGTGTCGAGCCGCCGCTCCGCCTACGCCTTCTCCCACCAGCGGGGCTACGCCGACCTCATCGCCTCCGGCCGCAGCATCCGCAAGAAGCGGGCTCCGCTGGACGCCGTGCTGGGCGGCAACGGGACGCCAGCCACAGATGCTCCTCAAAACAGCTGATTTTCAGAAGCTGAGAAGCTTTTTATCCCAATAATTGCACAATTTTAATTTTTTTTTAAACAAACTCAGGATATTTTTTTGTTTTTTTAACCAAATGGCATCAGGATGTGAAGATTTTTATGCTTTATCTCAGAACTTCCTGGCTTTGGACTACTGGAAGTGTAGAAGGGCCAAGGGTTCTCTGCAGAGCTACTCATCGTGGTGCGAGTGATTTGTGTGTGAGGCGAAAGTGAAGGATGTGTGTGCTGGGGAACGGAAACCCAGCACTGGCATTTGGGGTTGTTTTTTTTTTTTTAAGTGATGCCTGGAATTGTGAACTTTTTTCACCTTTTAATAATCCGTTGGTACAAAACTGCAGCTACATTTCATATGTTGTCCTTGAACACGAACTGCTCCTCCTGCGCGCCATTTCATTGCACCTCATGGGCACCACGGCAAACCAGAGGGACGCGGACACTCTCGCCTGAGCTCGTCCTGCCTGAGGCTGGGGTACAGCTGGTGATAAACTTTGGTCCATGTCAGATTTGATTAGGAATTCTGGCATTTACAGCTGTGGTTTCTGTCCCTTTTCCCTCCTCGCACCTGGTTAGTGCGAGTGACACGGTGTGACGCCCTCGCTGTCCCCTGGAATAAAGCGACCCCAAACAACAGTTAACAGAGGGGTTCCTTACTTGCTCCTTGTTTCTGGGCTTGGGATATATATATTCCAGCTTGGGAATAGATTAGTGCCTGCTCCCGGGGTGCATTTCTGAGCGGGCCTGTCTGCTCTCTGGGGAGCTGCCCCTGGGGCTGGCACCCCTTTGTGCAGGTCAGCGTGCGGGGCAACAGGCAGGGGAACTGCTCTCTGGGGAGCTGCCCCTGGGGCTGACACCCCTTTGTGCAGGTCAGCGTTCGGGGCAAGAGGCAGGGGAACTGGAGCCCAGCGCCCGAGTCCAGCCTCACTGTGTAAAACGTGTTTCTGGGAGAGTCTCTTCACATTTGCACGGGCTTTGGCTCTTGGAGGGGAGGGGAAGGACTGTTTCACCTGTATGTCACCTGTGTGCTACCTGTGGGGGACCTGGGGGTGTTGGTCGACAGTCGGCTGAACATGAGCCAGCAGTGTGCCCAGGTGGCCAAGAAAGCCAACAGCATCCTGGCCTGTGTCAGGAACAGTGTGGGGAGTAGGGCCTGAGAAGTGATCATCCCCCTGTACTGGGCACTGGTGAGACCCCACCTCGAGTACTGTGTCCAGTTTTGGGCCCCTTCCCACAAAAAAGACAGGACGAGAGGAAATGGCCTCAAGTTGCGCCAGGGGAGGTTCAGGCTGGATATTAGGAAACATTTTTTCACTGAAAGGGTTCTCAGCCATTGGAATGGGCTGCCCAGGGAGGTGGTTGAGGCCCCATCCCTGGAGGTGTTCAAAAGAGGGGTTGATGTAGTGCTGGGAGGTATGGTTTAGTGATGATGCTCCTTGTTTGTTGTGTGGGTGTCTATTTTTGTCAGTGAGGTTGACGGTTGGACAAGATGATCTTTAAGGTCCCTTCCAACCTAGAAGATTCTGTGATTCGGTGGCCGCGGGGGGTGCAGCCCGGCCGGGCCCGGACGGCCCTGGGTTAAGGGGGTGTATATTTCAAACAGCGGAGGCCAATAAACGCCCGGAAGCTCATCGCTTCTCCCTGAGCGGCGGGCGGGCAGGGCC